TCAGTCTTTGTTTTACAACCTTTTTACCCCCAAATGAAGTGAAATTAATTTGACTTATTTTCAGCAATAGGGTAAGCATCTCATCAAATAGTGTGGCATTTTACTTTAATTTTGTGCATGTGTCGTCTTATATTTTAAGAGACTACTTTTTTTTTTTGAGACAGAGCGTCAAGCTGTCGCCCTGGGCAAAGTGTTGTGACGTCACAGCTCACAGCAACCTCCAACTCTTAGGCTTAAGCGATTCTCTTGCCTCAGCCTTCCAAGTAGCTGGGACTACAGGCGCTTGACAACGCCCAGCTATTTTTTGGTTATAGTTGTCATTGTTGTTTGGCAGGCCCGGGCTGGATTCATATTGGCCAACTCTAGTGTATGTGGCTGGCTCCCTAGCCACTTGCGTGCGCTGAGCCAAGAGACTACCTTTTTTGACTGAATATTACTACAAAGAAAATGTTTGTGGGCTCGGCACTTGTAGCTCAGTGGCCATATACACCCAGGCAGACAAATTCAAACCTGGCCTGGGCCTGCTAAACAACAGTGACAACTACAACAACAAAAAAATAGCTGGGTGTTGTGGCAGGTGCCTGTAGTCCCAGCTACTTGGGAAGCTGAGGCAAGAGAATCGCTTGAGCTCAAGAGTATGAGGTTGCTGTGAGCTGTGACATCACAGCAGCATCTCACATAGTGAGACTCTGTCTCAAAAAAAGAAAATGTTGGCTTGGCACCTGTAGCACAGTGGTTACAGTGCCAGCCACATACAGTGAGGGTGGTGGGTTCAAGCCCAGCCTGGGCCTGCTAAAGAACAATGACAGCTGCAACATAAAAAATAGCTGGCCATTATGGTGGGTGCCTATAGTCTCAGCAACTTGGGAGGCTGAGGCAAGAGAATCACTTAAGCCTAAGAGTTTGAGGTTGCTGTGAGCTGTGACACCACGACACTCTACCAAGGGCAACATAGTGGGACTCTTATCTCCAAAAAAGGAAAAGAAAAGAAAATGTTATAAAGAGGTCATGACAGATGTCATTTCAAAGAGGAGGCACAAACTTGATCGGTCAGTGACTTCTACTCAGAAAACATATATTAATCTCTGTGCGCTATGGCTGGGTGTTTCCTCTCCTCAAACTCAGTCTGATAGGGAGCTGGACACGTGTGTAATAAATGTGGTGAATTCTTGAACGAGTGGACAGGGATGAACTTAGTAGAAATGGGGCTGTCAGGGCCCATCACAGACGACCGAATCAGGGTCTGTGTCTTTACAGGAGCCCCAGTAAGTTGAACGTATGTGGATGTTAAAGTTGGAGGAGCATGGGGCTGTATCCCCAAAAGCTTTGCAAACCACATTAGACTTTATTTTACATGACAGACTGCCATCGAAGTATAGTTAAGAAGCACCCACTGTGTGTACTGCTTTGGCATAATGACTTTCCGTTAATTATAACACAAATAGAATTTTGGGGTCTCTTTTTTTGTTTCCTTTTCTGAAGATAGGATCTTGTTCAGGTGCCTAGGCTCACATGCAGTGTTGTGATGACAGATCCCTGCAGCCTCAAACCACTGGCTCAGACAATCCGCCCAGCTTAGCTTCCCAATGAGTAGCCAGACTTTTTTTTTTTTTTTTTGAGACAGAGCCTCAAGCTGAGCCCCTGGGTAGAGTACTGTGGCATCACAGCTCACAGCAACCTCCAACTCCCGGGCTTAGGCGATTCTCCTGCCTCAGCCTCCCAAGTAGCTGGGACCACAGGTGCTTACAACAATGCCCAGCTATTTTTTGTTGCAGTTTGGCCAGGGCAGAGTTTGAACCCTCCACCCTTGGTATATGGGGCTGGTACCCTACCCACAGAGCCATAGGTGCCGCCCTGAATAACATTTTTATTAGAAGAACTTGACTTACAGATAATCTGTTTAAAAATCGTATGGCACCTTTATGCTTTGTATTATACACAAAGAGAGAGTCATGTTCCTAGACTGTCACACGGCCATCTCTCTGCCTGGTCATTGGAGTCTTAAATGTCTTCCAAGGAGCCACCTTCCTTCATTTACTTTGTAACTCTTGCCTTATCTTTTGTCTTGTGTTTTTGGTGGTGTTTTTTGTTATTGTATGGTAGAATGTTAGCTCCAATACAGCAGAGATAATTGTCCATTTTATTGATGGTGGGGCTCAAGTGCCTAGATGTTCAAAAATACTTGTGAATTGTACAACGGGCTAGCAGCAAGCCTTTCCACGGTTTAGCTTTACTTCAGTTATTGGAGAATTCAGCATTGTGAGTTGCTGTTTATCCTTTTTTTTCTTAAAGCAATAGTATATTTTTATTTATTTGTTTGTTTGAGACAGAGTCTCACTACGTCACCCTCCATAAAGTGCTGTGGGGTCACAGCTCACAGCAACCTCAAACTCTTGGGCTCATGTGATTCTCTTGCCTCAGGCTCCTGAGTAGCTGGGACTCTAGGTGCTCACTACAATTAGAGATGGGGGTCTTCCTCTGGCTCAGGTGGTCTTGAATCCATCAGCCCAGGTGATCCACCTGCCTCAGCTTATGAGAGTGCTGGAGATTACAGGTGTGAGCTACTGCATCCGGCAATGATATATTATAACTAACAGATTCATGTAGTAAATTAATTTACTTTTTTGATGCAACAGTCTTACCCTCTCGTATGGCAGTTTGCTGTTCTTTTTCCCTAAATGTTTTAGTTTCTGGGGAAACTAAAACCTTTGTAGCCTTTGCCTTGTTCAAGTAAAAGGTTAAATATTTCATTATGTTCTGTTGATTCCCTGCTTAATTCTGATACCAGTCTTTTCTCAATTTTAGGCTCACAGTGGAAATAGTAATTATTTTAAGTACTTTCAATTACTCTTCAGTTGTAATTTTGTTATGTTTGTTTTCAACCATGTAGGTATTGGGGGATGCTGATCTGGAGAAAAATGTCACAAGGACCAGTCAAAGACAGGACTGTAATTTGATTTCCTTGATGTATGAGAAACTGTTCTAGGAGCCAGACGTTTAATTGTGGGATTTAACCCTTTGAGCAAATAAAGACCATAAGCTTGCTTCTCTTTAAACAGACCCACAACTGCCTTTTCTCCTTGTACCCCAAACTAGTCTTACTGATTTGTTTTGATGTGGAAGAACTGGTTTGCTTAATCTAACTAAACATTTTAGAATGAATAGTAATTTTATAACCATTCTATCCCCTCCCCCTTCCCATAGTCTTTGTTTTGAGGCAGAGTTTCTCAGTCTCCACCCTGGCTAGAGTGCCCTGGCGTCAGCCAAGCTCACAGCAACCTCAAACTCCTAGGCTCAAGCCATCCTCCTATAGGGGCCCACCATAAAGCCAGCTAATTTTTCTATTTTTAATAGAGATGGGGTTGCGTTCTTGCTTAGGCTGGTCTCAAACTCCTGAGCTAAAGGATCCATCCTCCTTGGCCTTGCAGTGTGTTGGGATTTCAGGTGTGAGGCACTGCACCCCACCCCACATGCTCATATGTGGTGAGGGGTTGGGAGTAGGGAGCAGCAAATGCATCTTTTTTTAAACAAATGTGATGTTTTAGCTCAGCTATTTTTGTTTTTAATTGAGACAGAGTCTTATTTTGTCACCCTTGGTAAGGTGCTGTGGTGTCATAGCTCACAGCACCCTCAAACTCAAGCGATCTTCCTGCCTCAGCCTCCAGAGTAACTGGGACTACAGGCACCTGCCACAACACCTGGCTATTTTTGTTGTTGTTGTTGTTGTTTAGCAGGCCTGGGCCAGGTTCAAATCCACCAGGCCCAGAGCATGGGGCCAGCGCCCTAACCACTGAGCTATGGGCACCCCCCATTTTTATTTTTTTGTTTGTTTCATCTTATTTTACTTATCATCACTGTTATTTTTTGAGATAGGGTTTCATCTGTTGCCTGGGCTGCAGCTCAGTGGTGGGATCATACCTCACAGCAACCTCAAAATCCTGGGTTTGGTGATCATCTACCTCGGCCTCCTGAGTAGCAGGGCCTACAAGTGCCTACCACCATACCCAGCTAATGTTTTTTTAATGTTCTGTAGATATGAGGTCTTGCTGTATTGCTCAGGCTGGTCTCAAACTCCTGCCCTCAAGGGATCCGCCCACCTCGGCCTCCCAGATTTCCGGGATCACAGGTGTGAGCCGCCAGTGGGCGTGAGAGATCATTTAACATGCTCCTTTCGCCCTCGTGGCCTGCAGGCTCACCTTGCCTCGTTAGGGCTGGGTGTTTTATGTGACTCAGTTGTACCAGCCCTCACTGAACCTTGTCCTCTTTGGATGGGTATTTGGACTGCTGGAAGTTTAACCATTACGGGGGTGGCACAGAGAGTGCGTGTTGTATTTTGGCAACTGTATTTGTCTGTGGACAAGTTCCCTGAAACACAGTGTGTCCTTCACAACAGGGGTGCCAAGTGACTGCCACTAATACTGTGCCATTTATCACATTTTTACCAACAGCATGTGTGAGTTTGTGCTCTTTAAAAACATGTAAAAGATGGTGTAAAGGAAGAAATTGAAAACTGGCGATTTGCAGAGGCTGCGGGTGCATTGTGTGGATGTAGTTCTTTTATTTATGCCCTGATGGCTTCCATAGGTGAGATTTGTGGAAATTTAAAGTGAATATAAGCGTTCTTTGAGGTAAAGAGTATATGGAGTGTTTCTGAATTTTAGGAGGTTAAACTTCTTAGCAGCTTGCATTATAAAATAGGACCTGTTCATGGGGGGTAAATTGAGTGCGGAGATGTAAGAAATGTCACCGTACTGAGAATGGTGACAGGTGTACTTTCTGTGGTGTTTTTCTGAACGTCTTTGCTCCTATGTAATGTTAACTGGTACCTTCAGAGCTGAAACGGCAGGTCGCTCATGCCTCTCACCACCCTGTGTGACGTCTTCAGGAGTGTGGTCATTTCAGAAAGCTTCTGGAGACGACTTGTCACTGAGCCTGTTATCAGTCCCGCTTCACTGATATAGACAGTATTATGTGCCAAACCGAACATTTCAAAATGAAAATCAATAGCAATAGAAGAAAAAGCTAAGTACCACTCCGAGCAGATCTAGTTTTATAACTGACACAATTTCCTTTCTGCTCAAGGAAGCCCCTGTAGCCTTTTGTAAAGTGCAAGTCTAGTGATGAATTATTTCAGGTTTTTCATGTCTTTATTTCATTTTTTTAAAAACTTGTTTTATTGAGGTTCACTCAACATGCAATAAGCAATGCATATTAGAATCTTGCAGTTGAGTTTTGATACTTAGGGGACCATCAGCACACAAGATAGAAAACATGGTTGCCCAGATGCAGCCTCATGCTGCCCTTCCCCAGCCTGCCTCCCGTTACTGGAGCTTGCTGTTTCTGAGCTTTGTAGGATATATTCCTGCAGCATGGACTCTTTTCTTTCGGGGGACGGCCTGGCTTCTCTTGCTCGATTATCCCTGCTGTGTATAGATCAGGAGTTCACGGCCTCTGACTCCCCAACTCTCTATCCTGTTTGTTCTGTAGTTTGTTCATCTCTCTTTTTTTTTTTTTTTTTTTTTTGAGACAGAGCCTCAAGCTGTCCCCCTGGGTAGAGTGCCGTGGCATTACAGCTCACAGCAACCTCCAACTCCTGGGCTCAAGCGAGTCTCCTGCCTCCTCCTCCCAAGTAGCTGGGACCACAGGCACCCGCCACAACGCCCGGCTATTTTTTGGTTGCAGCCGTCATTGTTGTTTTGGCGGGTCCGGGCTGGGGATTCGAACCCACCACCTTAGGTGTACGTGGCTGGTGCCTTAGCCGGTTGAGCTATAGGCACCGAGCCAGTTTGTTCATCTCTTGATGGTTAGTAGGTTGCTACCACTTTTTGGCTGTTATAAATAAAAAGGGCTGTGAACAACCACTACAAGTCTTTGCATGGATTACTTGTTTCCTTTTTTCTTGGGTAGATATCTGGAAGGAGAATGGCGCGATCATATGGTAGGTGTATATGCTTGTGTGTCTTTTTCTTTTTCTTTTTGAGGCAGGGTTTTTCTCTGTTGCCCCGGCTAGACTGTAGTGGGTCCTTCACAGCTAAAACTGCCGCTGGACTAGCTGGGAGGACCGGTGCCTGCCACCACACGTGGCTGGTTTTTCCCTTGTTTTGTAGAGACAGCGTCTGTGGCTCAGTCTGGTTTGTGAACCTTCAGCCTTGGCCTCACAAAGTGTTAAGATTACAGGGGTGATCTCAGTTTGGGTCTCTCTTGCCATCCATGCTTCATACCTCTGGCTTCGTGAACATAGCACAGGTGATTAAAGTAACTTTTAATGCCCCTGTCTACAGATTCTTCATCTGGGTCACTTCAGGATCAGTTTCCCTTGCCTGATTTGTTCCCCCGTTGTGAGTCACATGTTCTTGCTTCTTCACATGCCTGGTGATATTCTATTGGATTCTACCTTCTGGGACATTGAGTGTACACTAGGACCTCCCTAGTTGGCCACCACCCTGCAGTGACCACCTCCTGTGCTGGCCTAGTGTTCATAGACTGGACATGCAGCACCTGTGCCTGTCAGCACAGGCCAGTTGTTCCTGGTGGTGTCTACTCACAGAGGTTCTACTGAGCTTTGTCCTGAGATACAATTAAGTTAGTTTGAAACAGTTGATCCTTCACTGTTTCATTTCCAATATCTTTTTTTCTTTTTTTGAGATAGAGTCTCACTATGTCGTCCTTAGTAGAGTGCTGTGACGTCACAGCTCACAGCAACCTCCAAGTCTTGGGCTTAAGCAATTCTCTTGCCTTAGCCTCCCAAGTAGCTAGGACTACAGGTGCCTGCCACAATGCCCAGCTATTTTTTGTTGCATTTGTCCTTGTTTTGGCTGGCCTGGGCCAGGTTCGAACCTATTAGCCTCGATATATGTGGCTGGCACTGTCCCGACTGAGCTACAGGTGCTGCCCATTTCCAATATCTTTTTTTTTTTTTTTTTTTGAGACAGAGCCTCAAACTTTCCCCCTGGGTAGAGTGCTGTGACATCACAGCTCACAGCAACCTCCAACTCCTGGGCTCAAGCGAGTCTCCTGCCTCTGCCTACCAAGTAGCTGGGACCACAGGCATCCGCCACAATGCCTGGCTATTTTTTGGTTGCAGCCATCATTGTTGTTTGGCGGGCCCAGGCTGGATTCGAACCTGCCATCTTAGGTGTATGTGGCTGGTGCCTTAGCCGCTTGAGCCACAGGAGCCGAGCCCATTTCTTATATCTTAAACCATTGTTTTATTTATATATCTGTTTTTAGAGCTGGGGTTTCACTTTTTTACCCAAGCTGGTCTAAAACTCCTGGCCTCAAGTGAGTGGTTTTTGAGCGAGAGACTCAACATGCCCTTACCTGAGAAGAAGTAATAGAAGGAAAGAAAAAATGGGTCCCAGAGAAGGAAAAAGGAAGTAGAGATTCAGTGGCCGAGTTGGAGAAGAGGATAGAGGGACTGTTTGTGTTGTGTTTTGTTTTGTTTTGTTTGGGGGGGGGCAGCAGGAACAAGGGCTTCATTTTGTGCTCTCAGGTGGCTGGTTGAAGTTGGGACAGGGTTGAGGCCACCCACTGCAGTGACCACAGGAGCGAGCAGGACGCAGCGTGGGGCCCCTAGCCCAGACTCCACCCTGCTCAGAGCGATGTTTTCATTAGCAGGGCCCTGGCCCAGGGAGCCGAGCCACCCGGTTAGTTGCTCAGCGTCACTCTGGTCTTGGGTTCTTGGAGATGTTTCTTCCGTCCCCTCTCTGTGAACCTTTGCTAAAACTGCGTTCCCATCTGAAGGCGGCTTGGGGCTGTGCTCAGTGCCGAGTGCTTGGTAGCTCCTCCTTTCTGTGACTGACTCCTTGAGCTTGCTCTCATGTGAAGAAAAACAATTGACAAAATGATTGTTGGAGACCTCTAACCCACCAGGGAGTGGCATTTGGAGAAAGAGGCCACAGAAGGCTTGCTCTTAACCATCCCCATTAGTTACGTAGCTGGGACAATTTCAAATGGGATCAGGACAGTTTACATTTACTATATTTTGAACTTAGGTGACAGGAATAAAATGATTTTCTGCATATATATGTGTATGTGTATATAAAATTCGAAGTCTGTGGGCCTCATGTAATATTTTGTGTTGTTAAAAGAAAACTTCAGACAAATTTAACACTTTAATTGAGCAAAGAATGATTAGCAAGTCTAGCAGCTGCTCTGCCCCCACCTAGGATGGGTTCCCGGTGGCTGTGAGCTGCAGCCACAGGGTGGCCAGAGAGGAATCGAGGCAGAAAATGGAAGTGAGGCACAGAAGCTGCTGGGTCGGGCTCAGCTGAGCACTCGCCTTGTCTGAACGCTATTTGGAAAGCTGTGCATCCGAGAGAGGTTGCAGTGCGGCTGCTGTGATCAGCTGAGAGTCGGCCATTTACTGTAGGAGGAGAGACCAACAAGCAGAACTTGCCACGTGTGAGGAGGTGGCTTTAGGCTGTACTGGGTTCACCGGTACACAGAAGTGGGCCTGCAGTGGTGTGAGCCATACTCCGGCTCAGTCCCTGGGAGGCCAAGGCAGGAGCATCACTCGAGGCCAGGAGTGCCAGACAAGCCTGGGCAACATAGGGAAACCCGTCTCTGCAAAAAGGACTTAAAAATGGCCAGGTTTAGTGGTGAGTGCCTACAGTCCCAGCCACTCCAGAGGCTGAGGAGGAAGAGGGCTTGAGCCCTGGAGTGTGAGGCTGCCCTCACAGCTGTGGTCGTGCCATTGCACTCCAGCCTGGGCAGCATTGCGAGGTCCTGTCCTTAAAAAAAGGGAAGCTATGTCACCTACTTCAGAGAACAGAATTGTCTAAATAACTGTCTAAAGATTTGTCCTTGTCAGATATTTCTCTGTACACACACACATAAATTTAGAAAGTTTATTTTCACCAAGATACTATATTCTAGGATATAATAATAGTAATCTTCATATTCAGAGGTTTTAAAAAGTGAGCTTTACGTATTGTATTTTCCAGGAGACCCGTGTACGGTGTCATCTCAGTTGGAGTTAGAAGAAGCCTTCAGGCTGTATGAGCTTAACAAGGACTCCGAGCTCCTGATTCACGGTAAGGGAGAGGTCGTTTCATTCTCCTCTAGAGCCATAGTTTTTTTGAAATAACTCTCTTCTTGGCCACTCTCCCCAAGTACTGGTTCTTAAGACGTTCAGGGAGGTCAGACCAGTCCCTCTCAGGTTCTGGAGTCGGTTGTCTCTGTGCCGTCTCAGAAGCTGCAGAGTGACGCCGTGTCGCTGCACATTTAGGGCCAGACTTTAGAATTGAGAAAGAGCCTAATGATCCCCAGAGGTAAGGGACCTTAAACGTCCTTTATTTTGTTTAGGGGTTAATAGTGGAACTACATAGTACTTTACAGACATTAATATTAAAACTCAGCAACTTTGAGATGTGGGTAACGACATACAAGAAGCATAAACTTGGCAACAGTGTAACTGGTACACTGTAGATCTGGAATGTCATCTTAGGAACTAAGATTTCAGGTTTGCAGGCGGCACATGTGGCTCAGGGAGTAGGGCGCTGGCCCCATATACCAAGCATGGCAGGTTCAAACTCAGCCCCAGCCAAACTGCAACAACAACAAAAGTAGCTGGGCTAACTATGGCGGGCACCTGTAGTCCCAGTTACTTGGGAGGCTGAGGAAAGAGAATCCCCTAAGCCCAAGAGCTGGAGGTTGCTGTGAGCCTTGATGCCACGGCACTTTACCGAGGGTGCCAAACTAAGAGTCTATCTCTTTAAAAAAAAAAATTCAAGTGTGCATTTTTTTCATTCTTCTGTGCTGTACCTCAGTTCTTTCTGTCATGTAGAGCCCCCAGAATATGCTGCATTTATTTTATTACTTGTAACATTTTTGGGAACAGTAGGAGATCAGACTTAGGAAATTGTTTAAAGAATGAAACAAATATAAATCTTTCCTCAGGTATAGTGAATTGTTTCAGTGTCTTGTTATTATTTTGCACTTTATAGTGTATTCTTTTTTAAAAACCCTAGTTTCTAGATGTTTTTCTACCTTCACAATGTAACATAGTGACTCCAAAGGGGTCTGTAATCTAGTTTGTTGAGATCCTAGTAGAGCTTCAGAAGTGATCTATTTTTTTGTCATCTCTTTCTAGAATAAAATTACAGTGAATAAGGATTTGACTGCCCAGTGTATTTAACAGTTTTGAGTTTTATTGTTTTTCTCAAAATTTCAAAATGTTAAGGGGTACAGATGTTTTTGTTACATGGATACCTCTTACAATCCTTAAATTGAGGCTTTTAGTGTGCCCTTCACTTAAATACTGTGCATTAAATCCAGTAGGTTAAGTTTTAGGCCCCTACACCCCCTGATTTTTTGCTTTTATTGCTTTTTTAAAATTTTATAATTTTATTTGATGTGTCTGACAGTCAGCAGTTAGTTTTCATCCACATTGACTGTAGATTTTTGAAAGTGGTAACAGGTATGTAGGTCACCAAAGTATGGAGCTTGCTTGGTGAATCTTCATCTTCATTGCGTTTTCTAGATAACTGCACACTGATGGTATGGGACATTCCTTATGCCTTTGGCCCAGACAGCTTTGCTGAGCCTGGTATCAATGCGCATATCTGGAGTTCCCAACTCTTTCATGGCAAATTTCCGGATCTCTTTCTGAGTGCCTGAGGGGCACGCTTCTTCTTAAAGCCCACTCCATGGATGGGCTTGTGAATATTGATAGTGTATTCTCGAGTCACCACCTTGTTGATGGCAGACTGGCCGCCCTTCTCCACCCTTCTTTGCGGGAGCCACTCTGCAGGGCCCAAGTTGGAAAGAAGAATTTTTTTTTTTTGAGACAGAGTCTCACTTTGTCACCCTGGGCAGAGCCATGGCTCACAGCAAACTCGTATTTTTAGGCTGAAGCAATTTTCTTGCCTCAGCCTCCCAAGTAGTTGAGACTGTAGGCACCCACCACAATGCCCAGCTGTTTTTTTAGAGATGGAGTCTCGCTCTTGCTCAGGCTGGTCTCAAACTCATGAGTTCAAGGGATCCACTTGCCTCAGCCTCCCAGAATACTGGGATTATAGGGCAAGCCACTGCCTGGCTTGTTTTATTGCCTTTTTTTTTCTTGGTAGAGGCAAAGTCTCACTTAATCGCCCTCAGTAGAGTGCCGTAGTGTCACACAGCTTACAGTAATCTCCAACTCCTGGGCTTAGGTGATCTTGCCTTAGCCTCCTGAGTAGCTGAGACTATAGGCACCCACCACAGTGCCGGCTATTTTTTTGTTGCAGTTTGGCTGGGGCTGGGCTTGAACCCACCACCCTTGGCATATGGGGCTGGCGCCCTACTCACTGAGCCACAGGTGCTGCCTTGTTTTATTGCTGTTTATAGTATATCACATACCTGTTTTCAGAAGTTAGCTTATGTCTCTGCTTTTAAAATACATATTAGGAACTGTGCTTCCTATAGTCTGCACTCTTTATTAAACTGTGTGCTTTATTTTATTTTTCTGAGATGAGTCCCACAGTGTTTTGCCCAAGCTGGTCTCATGGGCTCTAGCCATCCTCCCAGATTGCAGACGTGGCCGCTGTGCCTGGCCACTCCGGGTCCTCAGTGTGTCAGGGGCTGCAGGTGGCTGACTAGATTCTCATAACGCAGTGTTGGCTTATATTCTGCCACATTACGAAAATGATCTGAATTAGTACGTTTGTAAATTCATAGTTCCTAAGATAAACTTACAGTTTCAGATTTTTGGTACTGTTTCTGGTGCTAATTTATTCCTTACGTCTTTTTTAAATTAATGTTTTATGTTTCATATTTGCATACATTTTAATAATTCTTCATTGTAGCGTGGTTGCCCTACCATCCCAAAGACTTAAGGAAATAATAGTTAAGATTTTTTTAAGGACAACAAATGATGTAACAGAGACTGTAATTTGAGTATCTGGTACAGTGTTTATAGATGTGTTCGTTTTCAGAAAACTTTTTGTGTGGCCGTGGTAAATGAATCCCTTCAGCAAACACCACTGACTGTATCTTGTCTCAGATGGAGAAAAGGTCAGGTTGAAATCTGGGCCAATTTTTTTTGTATTTGAATTTTAAATATAATTTTACATTTCTGTATAATTTGTTTGTTTTAAGTATCCTGTTAACCAATTTTATTTTCTTTCAGTATTTCCTTGTGTGCCAGAACGTCCCGGAATGCCCTGTCCAGGAGAAGACAGTGAGTGTTTGTGCAGGTCACACCCCTGAAGAGCTGTCAGGCAGTGGAGGGTGAACAGAAATCACAGCAGAGCTGACAATTCATGGGATTCCTTTTCCAGTTTTCAGTCTAATTTAGGATATATTACATACCTAAATTCTGCTTTTGCCAGATTGAATCCAGATAATTCTCAGTTAAAAGCAATGTAATACTTGTTGTATGATAAGAAAGGAAAATTAAGATATTTTAAGTCTTCCTCATTTTTAATCTTGTAATTTTATTTTTCTTTTGAGACAGAGCCTCAAGCTGTTGCCCTGGGTAGAGTGCTGTGGCATCACAGCTCACAGAAAGCTCCAACTCCTGGGCTTAAGTGATTCTCTTTCCTCAGCCTCCCAAGTAGCTGGGCCTATAGGTGCCCGTCACAGAGCCCAGCTATTTTTTGGTTGTAGTTGTTGTTTGGCAGGCCCAGGCTGACTTTGATCCCGCCAGCTCTGGTGTATGTGGCTGGCGTCCCAGTCGCTTGAGCTACAGGTGCCAAGCCTGATCTTGGAATTTTCAGACCTATGGAGAAATTGAGACGACACTGGAAACAGGAGCCCTGTATATCCTTTGTCCAGATTTACCAGCTGTGAACATTTCCCCTTTATCTGTAACATACACATACAAACATAGCAAACGCACTTGTTTTATTATTTTTTCTTTGTGCCATTTGAGAGTAACTGATGCAACTCTTTGCCTCTGCGTACCTGAGCGTGTGTCCTTTGGGATTGTTGGGAATTGCTTTTGAATGTCTGAGCCAATGGCACTCGCTACTGAGGTGAACTGGAGAGTCAAAGCATTTGTTCTGATGCAATGTTAACATGCCAGCTTGTGTTAGCTCACACGGCACTGCCTTTGGTGTGTGGCAGACTTTACCAGCTGTGGATGTCAGGCAGCCCACTTCCGTTTATGGTTTCTGGACATGTCCATGAATTTAGAAGGAATAGTGGCAAATGTTTTGCTTTGAATTAAGTGAAATTGTTATAAACTGTGAATTGTGACTCTTCATGCTTCTCAGTGAGAAGGGAAAATTAAAGAACTGTGGGTCTTTGTCCACGCACATGTGTGGGGAGCCGGGTGCTGTAAAGGAAGGAGGCCTGTGAGGGCCGGGTGAGCCCGAGGCGACAGTGGAACGTGCAGTCTGGGTTCACTAGGGAAATGTCTCGGGGGAAATCCAGTGGCAGAGGATTAAAGCCGCCTTCACAGAGCTGTCGCAGCAGCCATGATCTCTGTGCAGAGCTAGAATTTCCAAAGGCTTGGAAGCAGAAATTATATTCATTATATTTCACACGCACTTTCCCCCTTTAAAATTTACTGGTGGGTATTTTGATACCAACTCTCCCTCAGTAAAACATATGTTCGTGCACTAGGGTGCGTGGGGAAATTGATAACCACTCATGGGCTCTCTGCCCTTTTAATTCCTAGGCAACATTAAAATATTTAAATTTAAGGTAAGTCAAGTTCTAGTTCATGGAAGTTTCTGAAAAAGAATGTATTCTTAGGCTCGGCACCAATAGCTCAACCGGCTAAGGCGCCAGCCA